AGTAAGGAAAAAATATTTAATGAAAGGTGAAAAGCCTTTGCTCTATGTCAGGTATTTTTTTTTAAAGACCACAGAACAAAACAAAACTAGGGCAGAGAGGGGGAACCTGTGTGAATAATGAAAATATTTTAAAGAACCAATGCTTCTCACTTGAAGCTCAGGAAAAAGTAAAAAGAAAAAAAAATGTTGCTATATCCTATCAGAGGACACCTCCTGCAGGAATTGGAAGAAACACATTGCTGTCCTAAACTGCAAAATTTTAACTCAAGAAATGGTTTGTGAATCATATACTGCATTTGGTTCTGAGTTATTATACTTGGCATCTTGTTCGGTCTTTGGCTATGACTTTTTTTTTTTTTTGGTGATATATTTAAATATCATCAGGGCTAAATCAATTCCGCATTAAACAGCGAGACTTACATATAACTTTTCTAGGGCCCTAGCACTTAGCCAAAGACAATTACCAGGGGTAAACTTTATTTACGCTCTGTAGTAAACTTGGATGCTGTTAAACAAGAATTGTGCTGAATATGCACAAATACACATGGCTCAGTGAACACAGTGTATGAACTCATCCCTGTTCTGGAAACTCAATTCTGCTTCCATCTGTGTCAGTGTAGGGCTGGTTAGTAATTATCATAGCCTGTATTTACTATAGATTCTATGTCTTGAAATGGTGAGAATGGATTATTTAAATTCCAATTTTTGAGGAGTTAGGTGAATCAAATATAAATAGTACATGTGTATTTCTCTGTACTACCTAATTACAGACAAGAGTGATATTGTATTTAAAATAGGCTACAACTAACAAATAATGGATTGCATTGATAAAATTATTTTCATGGTTATTTTGGCCTACTTCCTCTATCTGAGGATATAAAAGATAATCTTCAGTTTCTAACCTGGCTGACTGAAATACAAAATAGGCCAATTCTGAAATTACTTGAAGTTGGCTAAAAATAGTCATTTCCCCCTCTTTGTCGGTTCCCCACTCTTGCCATATATTATAAATGTAAACATTTTTATATATTATATATATTCATATTTTCAATGTTAAGAAGAGCTATCTCACTTATATCTGAATTTTTTCTGTCTTGGGAAACCAAGAATCAGAGGACATTAAACTCAAAACTTCATTAAAGGGTATTTACCATAAATATGAATACATAGAGAAACTTTAAGATAGAAATACTGCATCTGTGTGTCTATAAAAAACATGCAAACATGCAGAATAGAATTAAAGACCTCAAACCCAACTGTAAACTATGTGAAATTAAAATGTAATATGAAATAATCACAGTGTGTGGGAAAATTAAAAAGTATTAATATGTGGTTCAGGGAAGATTGAATAATTATTTGTCAAAACGGTACACTCCTTCATTTTGCATTCCAAAGTAAATGTTAGATGATGTGTGGAATTAATAAAAACAGCTCAAAGCTAGAGGAAAATATAGATTTCATAAGCAGAAACAAAATGGGGAAAATAAGATTTAGCTTTTATAAAAGGGAACAATTTCAAGTTAAAAATGCTATAGATATACTTAACAAATAAATAATAGAGGAAACGTATTCAATGCAAATTGCCAATAATAGCTAAATATTCACTCTTTGAAAAAGCCTGAGTGTTTCCTACTGTTAAAGAACTTCTCTCACTTTAGTGATTCTCAGTTTCTGTACATCACCTTCAGTGGACTGAAAACTGAAGAGAGAGACATATTTATCAATTTATCCCAAGAGCACTGGACATGATTGCAGCACAATAGACATTATCCATTATCATTGATAATTAAAAATTTGTAAGTATCCCCCCATAAAATGAACAATGAAATAAATTTAAAATATACAAAGAGTGAACATATACAAAGCCAATAAACACTTCAAATTTTAACTTGTTAATAGAAAAGTAAAGGAAAAAATTTAATGGTAGCCTTTTAAAGTTTTCATTAAAAATGCCAAAGATTATAAATGAAGCCTGATTAATTTACAAGGGTTGATCTAGTTGATGAAAATAAGGTAGAGTACAGATTAATTTATACTTCTGGTAAGGTTATTCATTGATGTTTACAGAACTCTTGAGTTGCATGCTCCAGAAATCAGTCATAAACTTTCAGGAATAAAACCCACAACAGAAGGAAAGTACTTGGCATGTTAAAGAATCAGAATCCAGAGAGGGAGAGGGGAAAGGAGAGGAAGAAGAAGTGGGGAAAGGAAGGCAGGGGAGGAGGAGGAGAGGAAGGAAAGAGAGGGAAAAGAATGCTCAGACATCATGGAGGAACTGCTAAAGGAATTTTCAAGGACTCTCTCTGGAGGAGCAGTGACAATACTTTTTAGTCTGTGTATAGCTTTGCTTCAGACCCAAATTCCTAGAATGAGGAATGTGGCTAGGTACATGCTGACTCTTTGGTCAGTGGATCATTCACCTTGATTGCAGGTCCTACCAGAACCATATTCAAAGAAAAAAACCAAAGGACTGATACCAACAGAAGGTAAAAAGATGTGGGATAGGAAGGTAAATGAACATACACACAAACTCATGCATATACAACATCCAGTGTGTATAAAGAGCCCTAAAACTCCTTTTTAAAAAAAAAAAAAAAGATTTATTTTGTTTATTTGAAAGAGTTACAGAGAGAAGTAGAAACAGAGAGAGAGGTCTTCCATCTGTTGGTTCACTCCCCACACGGCCACAACGGTCAGAGCTGCGCAGATCCGAAGCCAGGAGCTTCTTCTGAGTCTCCCGTGTGGGTGTAGGGGCCCAAGGACTTGGGCCTTCCTCTACTGCTTCCCCAGGCCATAGCAGAGAGCTGGATGGGAAGTGGAGCAGCTGGGACTAGAACCAGCACCCATATGGGATGCCAGTGCTTCAGGCCAGGGCTTAAACCCGCTGTGCCATAGCTCTGGCCCCAAACTCCTCCTTTTGTTTTGGTAATCTTCTAGGAATGGATTCCTTGAAATTAACCAGAGATTCCTGTAGTTTCATTAAAGTGTCATTTGTAATTGTTTTAAAGTATAAATTAACTATTTGGTCAATAAAGGAAAAGAATTAAATTACAGGGGCCAGTGCCGTGGCTCCCTTGGTTAATCTTCCACCTGCAGCGCCAGCATCCCATATGGGCACCGGGTTCTAGTCCCAGTTGTTCCTCTTCCAGTCCGGCTCTCTGATGTGGCCCGGGAAGGCAGTGGAGGATGGCCCAAGTGCTTGGGCCCTGCGCCCACATGGGAGACCAGGAAGAAGCACCTGGCTCCTGGCTTTGGATTGGTGTAGCTCCAGCCTTTGAGGCCATTTGGGGAGTGAACCAACAGAAGGAAGACCTTTCTCTCTGTCTCTCTCTTTCTCACTGTCTGTAACTCTACCTGTCAAATAAATAATCTCTGTCTCTATTTTTCTTTCTTTCTCTCATATAAATAAAACAAAATAAAATAAAACAAATGCATAAATTTAACAAAATGAAATATTAACAACAAAATTGTCCCTACGTCATAGTCTAGAAAGCAACTAGATGTCAAACTACATATCCCCATGAGCTACAAGTGACAGGGACTGTAAGAGAGAACCAATGATCAATAAATTCTCTTATTCTTCTTTTGCTCTTTTCTAGTTGTTTTATTATTTGTTTGAATAAAAAGGTATCACAAAATATTTGTAGAGAAAGGAGTTAAAGGGTAAGTCTATTTTGGTATATAAAAAAGTTCAGTACATAAAGTTTTGTATTTATAAAAATTAACTTATTAGAATTGTTTGAGAGAGCAGAGAACTCAATCCAGGTCTGCTATGTGGGTGTCAGGGATCCAATTACTTGAGCCATCACCACTGCTTCCCAGTATCTGCATTAGCAGGAAACTCAAGTCTGGAGGTAGAGCTGGGAATCAAACCCAGACACTTTGATGTGCCTCGAGGGCATCTCAACTGCTAGACTAAATGCCTAACTGCCCCCAGGGTAGTCCATTAGTATTTCTTCTGGGAATGCAAGGTTAATTCTTTGAGATAAGTGAAAAGGCAAATGCCTCTAGGGGTGGAGAGGCTGCTTCCATTGGGCTGCTTCCCCTGTATTCAATTTTTAGTAGATAATACACACTAGTTCCAGAAATGCACAGCAAACATTTTCCCTGCCATATCCTTTATCCTCTGTCTAGTTATCCTTCCAAGCAGGTAGCCGCTGGTTAATTTCTTGGTATCTATGATGGTTAATTTTACCTGTCAACTTGGCTGGGCTAAGAGGTGAACAAATAAATGATAAAATACTGCTTCTGAGTACAACTGGGAAACAGTAGACTGACTACAGAAGGTTAGCCTCACCAGTGTGGCTGGGCATCATCTGATGCATTGAGGACTTGACCATACAGAAAGGTGGTAGAAAGGGAAAATGTCTCTGTGCCTGAAGGAACCACCCATCTTCTGCAGCTGGATGTGGGTGCTCCTCGTTCTCAGGCACTGTTATTATTCTCAGAAAGAAACTAAATGCATGGTCTCTCCCTCTTTCCATCCTCTGGACTTCAGACTCTCACTGAGTCACACCACTGGCTTTCAGCCTTCCCCAGTTTGCAGGTAGCACTTCATGGGGTTCCCAGCCTACATAATAACCACATAACTCACTCTCTCACACACACACACAAATACACACACATACTTCCATTGATTCTGTTTCTCTGAAAAATCCTGACTAATCCACATTTTGTTACCAGGATTCAGGACTGGGAAGAGTTGTGGGGAGAATCAGGCTGTTTGCATGGGAACTGCCCCTGGGAAAGGCAGGGTTAATTCTTTCAGATGTAAGTGAAAGGGCAGATGCCAATAGGAGTGGAGAGGCTGCTTCCTTTAACTGGCAAGGAAAGCTCCTCAGAACCAAACTCCATGTCTCCTTTTTAATAAGATTCTTCCCAAATTTCTCCATTCCAACTTAGAAGACCTTGTTCTTTTCCAGTTAATACCCTCTCTCTCTCTCTCTCTCTTTTTTTTTTTTTTTTTTTTTTTTTTTTTTTTTGACAGGCAGAGTGGACAGTGAGAGAGAGAGAGACAGAGAGAAAGGTCTTCCTTTTGCATTGGTTCACCCTCCAATGGCCGCCGTGGCCGGTGCGCTGCAGCCGGCACACCGCTCTGATCCGATAGCAGGAGCCAAGTGCTTCTCCTGGTCTCTCATGCGGGTGCAGGGCCCAAGGACCTGGGCCATCCTCCACTGCACTCCCGGGCCAGAGCAGAGGTCTGGCCTGGAAGAGGGGTAACTTGGACTAGAACCCGGCGCCCCGACCGGGACTAGAACCCCGTGTGCTGGCGCCACAGGCGGAGGATTAGCCTATTGAGCCACGGCACCGGCCAATACCTTCTCTTTTTCATAAGATGTCTTACAACATTGGAAGTTTAGCTTTCTTGTCATTCAGTCAGTAGTAGGATGAGATTCTGTATTTGATTTTCAGTGATTTCAGCCCCGAGGCTACAGGATATTAGGCTAGAAGTTCTTAGACCATTTATGCAGTACTTGAATTGAGAATTTGAATCTCAGAGCTCATCTTTTTCTTTCACCATTTTATCTAGAGATATTAATAATAAAGAGACAACATTATTAATGTCCCTTGGTTTACCAAAATGTATTCCAAAATATCATAGAGTTATTTAGCTCCTTGTTTCTTCTAAGTGGTTAATGAGGAGTATACAACGCAGATATTTTGCACCTCTCCATAAGCGGTGTAGGCCATGGACTATCAGCGCTCCTCTTATTACTAGAAACAGTAGTAAATCTAACCAAACTAGACGGCTAGTTCTAGAAATCTTAGACCAATTCAGGTAGCTCATCTTTAATACTCTGTTCTTCTGTAGCCACTCAATACCAAAATCTTTATTCCTTTAAGTTCTCAAAAGAAACATAACCAATGGGGGAGGGGGGAAGACACACACATGCACAAACCTGAGGATACTTTAAAAAGTTAAAGAAAAATGGAATTAAAAGGTAAGTATTCTGGTGCAAAAACATTTTAAAACCCATTTGTAGTTTTTTCTATAAAACTTACTTTCTGTGGCCGGCGCTGTGGTGTAGTGGGTAAAGCTGCCGTCTGCAGTGCCAACATCCCGTATGGATGCTGGGTTGAGACCCAGCTGTTACACTTCTGATCCAGTTCTCTGTTGTGGCCTGGGAAAGCAGAAGATGGTCCAAGTCCTTGGGCCCCTGCACCCGCATGGAAGGCCTGGAAGAAGTTCCGGGTTTGTGGCTTCCGATTGTCCCAGCTCCATCTGTTGTGTTCATTTGGGGAGTGAACCATTGGATGGAAGACCTCTCTCTCTCTACTTCTGCCTCTCTGTAACTCTACCTTTCAAACAAATAAATAAATCTTTAAAAACAAAACAAAAGCTTATTTTCCATGCATTTGTTTTGAAGACTTCCTAAAAAATTTGTGCACCAAAACAAGCTTGTCTTTTAATTCCACTAATGACTTGACAGGTTGTCATTCATAGTGTCAGAATTGTCTCTTGTGATTACAGAGACTAGAAGTTCCATGACCAGCCATTTGTAAGCTGAAGAGGGGGACCAGTGGTGCAAGTCCAAATGTGGGTCTGAAAGCCAGAGAACCAAGGGTGTCACTGGCGAAGGGAAGAAAAATAAATGGATGTCCCAGCTGAAGCAGAGAGCAGAACCACCATTCCTCCACATTTCTTTCTCTTACAGCCTTCCAAGAATTAGGTTATATCCACTCACATTGGTGAAGGCAACATTTACTCAGTCAACCAATTCAAATACAAATCTCTTCTGGCAACACATGGGCATCTGTTAGCCAGATCAGGTCAACACATAAATTAGTAATTATAGGATCTTTTCACTGGTTGGCTATACACATACAAACACTAAATACTATTCTATTTTTCTCTTATTTTCATACAAATGGTAATATATACATGCCTGTATCTTCTTTAACAAATCTGAGTGGATTGTCGAAAGATATACTAAATAGCTTCTTTATTCATTTTTACAATCTTCTGTTATTTCTTTGTTGAAAGTACTACAGTTTCTTTACTATTAGTTCCATCCTGCTGCACAATTATTATTTCCAAGATTTTGTTTAAGACAATAGTGCAATGAAAATTGTGCATATTTTGTCACATGTGTGCCAGAATCTGTATGAGTTAGAAGTGACGTTGCTTGTTTGCTGGTTTTAAATGTATTTGTGCTTGTTTAAATTGAAATGAATATATATTTGTTTATTTTTACGTTTTGTTTTCTTGCCTTCTCTTTCTTTAGTTTCATGATTAACAGTGTGATTAAGATTAGACTAAAGACAATTTCAGGACATTTCTCTAGAAATCTCTGGTTTCCACTTATCTGTCAGCATGTTTTGTATGTATTCAATTAAAAAAATTTTTTTTTGACAGGTAGAGTTATAGGCAGTGAGAGAGAGAGAGACAGAGAAGAAAGGTTTTCCTTCCATTGGTTCACTACCCAAATGGCCGCTACAGCCGGCGCTGCGCTGATCTGAAGCCAGGAGCCAGAAGCTTCCTCCTGGTCTCCCATGCGGGTACAGGGGCCCAAGCACCTGGACCATCCTCCACTGCCCTCCTGGGCCACAGCGGAGAGCTGGACTGGAAGAGAAGCAACCGGGATGGGACCCAGTGCCCATATGGGATGCCGGCGCCGCAGGCGGAGGATTAACCAAGTGAGCCATGGCGCAGGCCCCCTTGTATGTATTCAATTTATTGTGAGCTAAGATCCAGCAGCTGTATAATGATATTGACTACAAGGATATTTGTAATAGTGAGCTTTTGTCAGATTCTTTCTTAATATCTGATGTTTTCCTTTCCCTTCTTCTGATAGACCACAATAAGAGTGTTACCCACTAAATGATAACATTAAAAATAATCGTGTCCTGTGTTAACAAGGACACAGTGAATCTGGTGCTTTCAGACACTGACCATTGCAATTAAAAGTGGCATGGCCCTTTTGGAAAACAAGTATAGATGGAAAAATCTATAAAAATTCATATTGTCTGACCCATTAGTGTTACTTCCAAGAATCTATCCCAAGGAAGTTGTACAAACTTGGAAAACATGGATGTTTGAGGATGTTGATGGATATCATATGTGCACTAATAAATATGAAAAGTAACTCAGATGGTCAACAACACACTAATTTGAATGCATTTGAGAACAATATGCAACAATTAGTAGTGACTATGAGGATTATAATACAGTAAGTATGAATATGCTGTAATACTTGTTGGGCGAAATGTAGTACAAATTTATATTCAGATCCTAATATAGTAGGTTAAACATCTACTTAGGAATATTGAAATTATAAATGTAAATATATTCTAAAAAATGGGAAAATAGGTGACTCCTTTTCTCCCTATCTGTTTATCTCTAGTTTTATGGGATATTTAAGACTCTAAGTTTTCAAGATAAGAAAAAATGCAGTTAGATTTGTCCTTGTGTTTTTAATATCCTTGTGCTGATATGAGTCATAGCTTTTGACAGTTCTACCTTCTTTGCCACTATTCAGTGGCATGAGGTTTTTCACTGTTTTATACAGTGAGTTCATCCTAGAGTTGGCAGTGCATTGCATATTGTCTTCAAAAGTGTTCTGTTATTCCCTTCTCTGTATCAAAGAGCATTTTATCACTAAGATTCTTTTCAATCAAATTCCTCATCATATTCTGTCTTTCAGAAGAACAAACTCAAATATTTTTAAGTCTTTTTTTTTTTTTGACAGGTAGAGTTATAGACAGTGAGAGAGAGAGAGACAGAAAGAAAGGTTGGTTCACTCTCCAAATGGCTGCTATGGCTGGCACTGTGCTGATCCGAAGCCAGGAGCCAGCTGCTTCCTCCTGGTCTCCCATGCGGGTGCAGGGGCCCAAGCACTTGGGCCATCCTCCACTGCCCTCCTGGGCCACAGCAGAGAGCTGGACTGGAAAAGAAGCAACCAGGACCAGAACCCGGTGCCCATACAGGATGCCGGTACCACAGGTGGATGATTAGCCAAGTGAGCCACAGTGCTGGCCCCTTGAACAAGCTTGTTCTTGCTTCTTGCCTACTTCCCAAATTAATCTCCAATTACTCTCCCATGCGTATTAAGCGGATACCATCTTGACATGTTTCTCAGGCCCAGCAAATCTTTTTAAAATGTTTTAAAGAGATTTAATATCTCTTTTCACTGAATTATTTTTTCAAAAATATTAATTTTAAAAGTGGCAATTATGAACAAATTTTGTAAAAAAAATCGTTCACCCCCAGTTGGACTGTCTCCCAATTATTTACATATTTCATTAAAATAAACTCAGGAAAAGTTAATAAAATGGCAGAAGTATTATGCATATAGACTTATCCCACAAAATATATAGATATCCTATATATGTGACCATGGTAATGGTATATCTTCAAAAAAGGCAAACAACTAAAATATAGAGAGGAAAATACTCTGTTTATATGTGAGTTAATTTGTTAACTTGAAATAAAATAGGAAGGAATAATGTGAAGTATGTATTTTCCCCAATATCTGAAAAATGAACTTGGTGGCATTATTTCTTTTTATCGAAATGCATTTTAAATTATAGTCTGTCTTGTTACCTTTGTCTAGTTGATTGTCACGTTATCTTCAAAGCATTAAGTTCCCTGTTAATTTCATAGAATTGCAATGAGAATTCATGACATCTCCTGTTTGATGCACTGTTACACATCTGTGTATTGTTCTGTCACTAAATTGAATTTCTCCATATTGAGCCATCCAAAGGACTTGCTCCTTTAAATAGCCCCATCTATGATTTTCTAGAACCACTATCAGAAAATTGATGAGATTTAAAGAAACCATTTCATTGCACTTACATAGTGTTATACCTCCCCTTTCTCCAGCCTATAAATACACCAAGGATTTTACTGTCTTGAGTATCCCTTCCCTTATTTTTTCCTATTCAAATTCAGATTTCACCCTTAGCATTTCCAAATTACCAACACCAGTTGTTAGTTATAAGTGTCGTGGATCTCTTCATAAAGAGATTTTAAAAGTTTTTAAGTAATAAAAATATTGAACTATAATTGTATATGTCGTTCAATGTTCAGTCCATGATTAGTAGATATGACATAAAATTTTTGAAAATTAAGTTAAAATATTACTTTGGTAAATAGGAAGATAATTCTTAAAGGTTTTATTGAGAATAATAACAGTAAGTGGTTTTTGTATTGTGACTATGTGTTAGATATAGAATTGCTAATCATTTTATAGGCATTGTATTATTTAAAACTTAATAAAACCTGAAGAGGTAGATGTTATTAATATCTATCTTTTCTAGGTGGTGACGCTGCCTACAAGAAATACATCTCACCACAATGATATACTCAGACTGAAAGTGAAAGAATGGAAAAAGCTATTCTATGCTAACAGACATTGGCTTTCATTTCTGACTGTATTATTCATATTTTCTGTCATATAGTAAAGTATTATATTCTTTTATTTTACATTTCCATTTAAAATTGCGAAATGAAGTAACAGAGTTTAAAATCAAATTGGAAAACTCTTCCAATGTATTCTTTCGTGTAGCCAGTTTCAAAATGAAATGAAGAGATTTGGCTGTTAACCAAAGCTTTTTTTGGATGGATAAGGAGTGAGGACTTGAGTACTTTTCCACAGTTAGATTTGAAAAAAAAAAAAAAGCTCATTTTGTATTGATAATTCTTCTCTTTCTTTAGTTGGTGAAGAGAAAATGACATCCTGTACTTAATTTTCCTGTTTAAGATAGGAAGTGAGAACTATACAATACCATTAGTGTCATGAGAAATAATGATAATGGCTGATCTCTTTCATCTACATGAAACCTTGAAAAACAACCAAAAATATCTAAAGCACCAAGTTCAGTATTCATAAACAGTGATTTACTCCATCTGAACCAGGGACCTAAACCTAGAGCTTTGTTTCCCACCTGTAGTAAAGTCGTATCAAGGGTGGGCTTTCGGTGCAATTGTTAAATCACTGCTTGAGACACCTGCCTCCCATGTCAGAATGCCTGGATCCAGTGCCAGCTCCTCTGCTTCTGAGCCAGTTCCTGCTTGTGCCCAGCTTGGAAGGCAGCAGATGATGACTCAACCACTTGGGTCACTGACACCCACATGGGAGACTAGAATGGAATTCTGGGCTTCTGGCTTTGGTCTAGCACAGTCTTGGCTGTTGTGGGCATCCGGGGAATGAACCAGCCTATTAATTTCTCTCCTCTCTCTCTTTTCCCCTCTTCTCTTTCTCTCCTTTCTCCTGCTCTGCGTTTCAAATAAAAGAAATGAAAATAAATAATTTTTTTTGAAAATCATGTTCATTGTCACATTTATGTCATCAGCTCAGGAATGGCTAACTCAACTTATCTGGTTATATCTGGCTTGACATCTAAGGTGCCATAAATATCAGTTATGAATTCTTTTCTGTTTTTTAAAATTCAATATATTGAGGCCGGCACTGTGGCATAGCCGGTAAAGCTGCCCCTGCAGTGCTGGTATCCCATATGGGTGCCAGTTCGAGTCCTGGCTGCTCCACTTCTGATCCAGCTCTCTGCTCTGGCCTGGAAAACAGTAGAAGATGGCCCAAGTCCTTTGGTCCCTGTACCACGTGGGAAGAAGCTCCTGGTTCCTGGCTTCGGATCAGCACAGCTCCAGCTGTTGCAACCATCTGGGGAGTGAGCCAGTGGATGGAAGACCTCTCTCTCTCACTCTGCCTCTGCCTCTCTGTAACTCTGCCTTTCAGATAAAAAATTTAAAATTAAAAAAAATTAAATATATTAATGTTGCATTTCAAGAAATGTAAGAAAAATCATAACAGAGACTACTAAAAGTAATTTCATCTATGTTTGATGCAAGTGTACAAAGGTGGCATTTGGCATTCTTCGTTATTGCTTATTTTTCTTTCTTTACATTTACTTTGCTTTATTTGGTTACTTTTTATTCAGTGCTGTTTTCAGCTAAATTAATGTACTGTAAAATTCCAAATAAATAACAAGAGCTGAGAATTTGAGCATAAAGAATAGATAATGCATGAATTTAAAATGTAAGCACAATTTGTATACCTTAAAATTGCATGCCTACTTATTTTTTAAAAATTTATTATTCACTTGAAAGGCAGTTAGAGAGAAAGAGACAAAGACAGAGAGAGATCTTGTGTCTGCTAGGTCACTCCCCAGATGGCCTTAATGGCCTGGTCAGGAGCCTGGAGCTCCATCTGGTTCTCCCATGTGGGTAGAGGGGACCCAAATCCTTGGGCCATCTTCTGCTGCTTTCGCAGGTGCATTAGCAGTGAGCTGGATGGGAAATGGATAAGCATTCATAGGGGATGCAGGTGTCTTGGGCATTGGCTTAACCTGCTGCACCACAACCCTGGCCCTGCATGTCTGTTTCATTGGTATTATTTTATATTCATGAACCACTTTGATCTACCTCTTAAAAATGTTAGTATGGCTGCTAGTATCAATTATCTACTGAATAAGAAAATATTCAGCATGTATATTCTCTTATGCCTATGAAATTACATTATGACTCCAAGAACCCAATTCATTAACACTGAAGAACAAAATGATAAAACTAACATGTAAGGGATATTGTGAGGGCATAGCAGATAGAGCTGTGGCCTATGATGCCAGCATCCCATATGAGTGCTGGTTCATTTCTCAACAGCTTCTCTTCAGATCCTGCTCTCTGCTAATGGCCTGGGGAAAACATTGGAAGATGGCCCAAGTGTTTGGGCTCTGCTGCCCATATGGGAGACCTGGATGAAGTTCCTGGCTCCTGGTTGCAGCCACTGGGGAGTGAACCAGTGGCTAGAAGATATATTCTCTTTCTCTCTCTAGCCCTTTTAAATAAATTTATAAAATGATTTTAGTTGGTGGTTTTGAAAAAAATTAGGACATTTGACAAAATGTGTTACTTAAATTTTGATTTTTCAAATATTTCAAAATTAGAAAAATATTGAGGGATTTCTTAAATGCTATCAATAAATGATGTTGTCTAAAATAGCCCAGCATGACAACTAAAAACATAATTACAGAATAAAAGAATGGATACTACATGAAATATATAAATATTTATTAGTTTTAACAGAAATGTACAAACCATAAAAGTTGGAGAAAAGACTGCATAAAACATTTTCTGGGTGGAGATCAGATAAAACTGTTTTCTTTGAGCAAGTTACAATGTTGTTTATGATTTTGTTACCAATGTGATGCATTATTTTCACTGAATGACATTTCTGTTGGTGAACCACTTCTTCCTTGCACAGTGCTTATTTATTTATCATAACTTGAAATCCTTCAAAAGTATTTGATCTATATTCAACTGTAATTTGTGTAGTGCCTACTAGATACTAAGTAGTATTCTAGGGACTGGGACTGTAACAGTGAGTAAAACGGAGCCCCTGCCCTCATGAAACTTAAATTCTAGGACAGAGGAAGAGAGGCAACAGATGATAAACAACATTACACTAACGTTACTGGACAGTAGGAAAAACAGGACAGAGCAAGGGCAGAGTGCCTGATGGGGGGAAATATGCTTCAAGTAGGACCATTAAGAAAGGTTATTTGGGGCTGGCGCCGCGGATCAATAGGCTAATCCTCCACCTGCGGTGCCGGTATCCTGGGTCCTAGTCCTGGTTGGGGCGCCGGATTCTGTCCCTGTTGCTCCTCTTCCAGTCCAGCTCTCTACTGTGGCCTGGGAAGGCAGTGGAGGATGGCCCAAGTGCTTGGGCCCTGCACCCACGTGGGAGACCAGGAGAAGCACCTGGCTCCTGGCTTCGGACCAGCGCAGTGCACCGGCCACAGTGGCCATTGAGGGGTGAACCAACAGAAAAGGAAGACCTTTCTCTCTGTCTCTCTCACTGTCTACTCTGCCTGTTAAAAAAAAAAAGTTATTTGGAATATACCCTCCCTGAGAAGAGATCTGACATCAATGAGAACCAAGCCATGTGAATATTTGTAGAGAATTCTCTATGGGCCAGCGCTGTGGTACAGCAGGTAAAGCTGCCTGCAGTGCTGGCATCCCATAAGGGCACTAGTTCTAGTCCCGGCTGCTCCACTTCTGATCCAGCTCTCTGCTATGGCCTGGGAAAATGGTGGAAGATGGCCCAAGTCCTTGGGCCCCTGCACCCTTGTGGGAGACCCAGAGGAGGCTCCTGGCTCCTGGCTTCGGATCAGCACAGCTCCAGCCATTGCAGCCATTTGGGGATTGGACCAGTGAATGGAAGGTTCTCTCTCTCTCTCTCTCTCTCTCTCTCTCTCTCTGCCTCTCTGTAACTCTGCCTTTGAAATAAATAAATAAATATTTTTTTAAAAAAAAACAATTCATTCTCCAGACAGAGCTTCTGTGGAAGTTTTCCAAATTCCTCCATCTTGTTGCAAATCACCGGGTTTCGTTGTTTTTGACTGCTGTATAGTATTCTTTTTTTTTTTTAGTTGATTAATCATCTTTTTTTTCCCTCTTTTTTTTTATTTTTTTAGCTTTTATTTAATGAATATAAATTTCCAAAGTACGGCTTATGGATTACAATGGCTTCCCCCCCATAACGTCTCTCCCAACCGCAACCCTCCCCTTTCCCACTCCCTCTCCCCTTCCATTCACATGAGGATTCATTTTCGATTCTCTTTATATACAGAAGATCAGTGCTGTATAGTATTCTATAGGATACATGTCCCATAATTTCTTTATCCAGTCTACTGTTGATGGGCATTTGGGTTGGTTCCAGGTCTTAGCTATTGTGAATTGAGCTGCAATAAACATTAAGGTACAGACAGCTTTTTTGTTTGCCAATTTAATTTCCTTTGGGTAAATTCCAAGGAGTGGGATGGCTGGGTTGAATGGTAGGGTTATATTCAGGTTTCTGAGGAAATCTCCAGACTGACTTCCATAGTGGCTTAACCAATTTGCATTCCCACCAACAGTGTGTAAGAATTCAACCTGGTGTTAGAGACAGTCCAGTGTGTTAGCATAGAAGAGGTGAGGAATAGTTGGAGATGAGGTTAGGGTGGTAGCTGGAAGCCCTTAAAGAGTGTACTGTAGGCCCTAGAAAGAATTTGTGTTTTATTCAAGGGTTTGACTGGGAAGGTGGGCTGATGTGTATTCTCGCTACCATGTATATAATTGATTATTGGGGAAAAAAAGAGTGCTCTCCTGGGTCATGAGTTAGAAGGTATTTCAGAGACCATTGTGGCTTTGGAGGTGTGGACTAGAAACTTCGCAGCTGTGTGCAAGCACTTCTGGGATTATGTATTTTGTTTAAGAACGTGTAACCTTTGTATATTTTTATTTGTTCGGTTATGTATGTACGTTTGTTTGAAAGGCGGGAGTCAGAGATGAGAGACAGAGAGGCAGATAGAGATACCCTGTCTCTTCAGTCACTCCCCAAATGCCCCCAAAGTTCGTGCTGGGCCAGGTCAAACCAAATCCTGGAGCCAGGAATGTAATCGGGATCTCCCATGTAGGTGGTAGGGAACCAAGCACTTGAACCATCACCTGCTACCTCCCAGGGTGTGCATCAGTAGGGAAGCTGGAGTCAGGAGCCGGAACCAGGACTCCAACTTGGACACTAGCTGTGGGCTTCCCAAGCAGCATCTCAATTGCTCTGCCACCCTGCTGGTGTCTCACATTGGACTCAGTGTTCTGTGTAAGGACAGTGACAGAAATCAAAGTGCCATAGACTCATTTAGGAGCAATTTTTGTTCATTTATCATTGTATGTGAGTTTTATTTTTCCTAAGGCAGCTTATCAATAATTAAACATTAAAAAATTGGACTATATAAAAATTAAATGTGCCGCTTAGCATTTCCATCTTTTCCCCTTTTTACAATTAATTCCTACTGTAACACTTATCGTTTTACATGCCTTCTCTTCCTCATTTGATTATTGCTTGGTGACTTGCAAGTATTGAGAAGAGAGATATGCTGTAGTTTTATATATGCATTTCATAGTTATAAACAGAATTTTATCATTTACATCAATTTTTTTAAACTTTTAAATTGATTCAGAGTCTGTTGCAAAAGGTAGAAATCTAATTTAAAATGGCTTAGAGCAAATTTTTAGCTTACAAATTTGGACAGTTCAACAGGTAAATTCAGGCATGTCAGAGTCAAGGTTTTGAACTAATGTTCTGGATAAACTTCTCTCACACTGAAACTTTGTATTCCGTTTACTTCTGCTTGGCTTAGCTCTCAAATATATAATATCTAGAACATAATATTTATATATCTATAAAATGTCTATTATATACATAGAACGCTAATGCAGTGATAGAAAATGTTAGCAAGATTAGAATAGTGCAAAGGTCTTATGGTGTCCTGTGTACTGTTTTATTCTTGTGAATTTCTCTTTATTCAGATTTTTTGAAATGAGAAATTAAAAAAGTACTGTCAGAGCCTAAAATATTTAAGTGACCACATTAAGCTGTAATACAACTATATAAATATTTGTTATCTATATTGAAATAACACCCAAAACTTGAGTATATAGAAAGGTGACATAGTGTATTTGAAAAAAGCATCGTATTGCAATTATGATTTGAAAATACAGTAATTAAAACAGAGTTTTCACTGCCTCGTTTTAATAGCAGATTGGATACACCACAGTGGCATTTAGTATGCCGGAAGATGAGGCAGATGCAGGAATCATCATTGTCAAACATGAATATCTGAAAGAAGAGAAAGAGAAGAAACACTGAGAGGAACTTATATTCATTTCATTGGAGCTTCAAAAGGAGAAGAAAGATGCACAGGTGGTATTTGATGTGATAATGCCTAAAAAAATTTTCAGAACTGTTTTTTTAAAATCAGTCCAAAGATTTAGTCCCGTGATTCCTAGCTATGTTAAAAGAAAGAAAAGAGAGAGAGAAAAAAAGAGAAAGTAAGCCATAGTTTAACATACCATAATTAAATTGTAGAACCAGAAATACAAATGAAAAAGACAAATTTCCTTCAATAATTAGATTTCAATACTTTAAGACCATTAGTGGAAGCCAAGATATCATGATATATTGTTCTGTGTACTGAATAAAAATAATTGATAACTACACATTTATAGTCAGTGGAAAAGTGCTTAAGGCAAAAAAATGAAATAAAGCCAGTTTCATATTAAAAAATCAGAAACAACAACAAAACCCTAAGGTTATCACCACCAAACCTGCATTAAAAGAGTTACTTTACATGTAGGAGGAAAATTATGCCAGAGATGCAGGAAGCAATAAAGAGCTAAGAGGGCAATAAATACGTGGATAAATCTAAATGAAATTTGCCTCATAAAATAATAGTGAAATTGAATAAATAGAATTGAGGGAATTAAAATGCACACAAAAAATTATATGAGTCAAGGGAAAGTTAAATGAAGTTAAATTAATTCTTTGTTCCTTGCATTGTCTGAAGAAGGAAATAAGATTCTGATAATAGTCTAGGGGAAGAGAGTTAAAAGTGTATGGAGAGAGTGCAACCTCAGGAAAGAGTTATGGAGAAACTGGCAGAGGAAACGCCACATAAATTAGAGGGACACTTTGGTCCTATGTGGATAGAGGGTGTGTACATGCACAACTCAGGACCCCAGCAGCAGAGAGCCTCAGCACCAGCTTTGGAGACCGAGGTGAGACCAGACTGCACCAACCCAGTGGCGGTAAAGCTATGGGAAGAACCTCGCATGAGCCCTGTGAGGGCCGGTGTACCTGCCAACCTAGAGGGAAAAAAAGGGGTCACGTTTTCTTTCCTAGCAAACACAGCACTAGTGTCCTGTTACTAGTGGAGAGTGGGTGGGCACCGTTTTGGACGTATGTAACAGCTGTGCCAGCTCATTTCTGCATCAGCTAAGAGAAGAAGCCTGAATCAGGCTGGGAAAATTGACAGCGGAATAGGTGCTGGTGACTGCAGGGACCTTGTGTGCCAGGACTGTGAAAATATTGTGGCTGTGTGGGAGGGCGCAGGGTGTGGCTAGGTCTTTGGACAGTCACTGTGGGCAGCTCCGCTTGCTCAGGGTACCCTGATTCCTTGGTGAGGGTCAATGCTGCAGGATCTGTGCTCTGAGTGAGGAATGCACGGATGCTTTGTGTGGTTCTTGTGGCAGTGTGGGTGAATATTGTACTCACTGGGGCTAGTGCCCAGGCATTGGTCTCCTTTGAGGAGAGGAGTTGAGTGTGAGAGTATGTCAACACAGCAAGACAACCTCCCCTCTGAATGAAAAAAAAAAAAAAAAAAGATTTATCACACCCAACTTAGTTGCCACCTTGAACATTACTGGAGCATTGAAAAGAACTCCCTGGACACACCAAGCACATGCCTCTGGGTATTCATGCAAAAAGTGTACACTCCACTAAGCTACAGAGGCATAGTAAAAAGATAAAACTCATCTCAGGGTAAAATGAAAAAATAGAAGTATCTCCACAAATGCCCAATAATAAATGCAGCAATTCAAGAGACTAGAATAAGGAAGACAGCATGATGCCCCCAAAGGAACACAACAATACTTCAGTACTACAATGTGAAAATGAAGATTGAAGGAATGCTAGAAACAGAATTAAAAAAAATGATCGTAGAATTACTTAGAAGTAGTCAGAAGCAAATCCATGAAATACATCCATACATAATATGAGTGAAAATTTTCTCATGAAATTGAGATTTCTAAAGAGAAATCAAAATGAAATAGTAGAAATGAAGAATTCAATAGAACAAATAAAGAATGTGATGGAAAGCATTATCAACATAATTGGTGAGGCAGAAGAAAGAATATCCAAGTTTGAAGACATATCTCTAGAAATTTTAGAGTCAGACCAAAAAAGAGAAGAAGAAATTAGAAAACTCAAAACGGTGTTGGAGATCAATGAGATACTATTAAATGATGCAACATATGAGTCTTAGGAGTTCCTGAAGGTGTGGAAAGAGAGAATGTGTTAGAAGGTCTTTTTAGTGAAGTAATTGCAGAAAACTTCCCTAATTTGGAGAAAGAAAAGGATGTACAAGGACAGGAAGGAAATAGAAGTCCTAATAGACATGACCAGAAAAGATCTTCAACACTATTTACATAAAATGTAAAAAAAATGATTCAGTTATTGTATTTAAAGATTTATTTTATTTAAAGATTTTTTATTTATTTAAAGATTGTGAAACTATTTAAAAATTCAACCCTGCCCTCTTTTCAAAAGTGTATCTACAACATTAGCGTGTTGAAGATTTGAAGAGAAAGAATGGGAGATGGTATTACTACTTTGTGGGTAGTGACAGGCCTCTTCATGGGGGCAGGACAATTCAGGCATGGCTGCTTGTCAGGGTTACTGAACCAAACATTAAAGAGAAATTTCATGCTAATATTAGAATTTTAATTATCTATGCTAAGACATAAGATTTAATTCACATAATATACATAGCGTAATTTGGATGCTACAAAGACTAGATGCAAAAATTTATCATTAAACTACTACAGTTCTATATGGTTACATTCTATTTGCCTGGGATTTTTCTTTCTCCTTTGCTCTCTTAGGGCATATTCAATTGTATTAATCAGTGTCCCAATATAATGCTATGATAGAGCAATTCATTTTCTAAATGCTACAATATCTTGGATTTGTCACATCCTGATTTCTCTCTTATTCATGGGAAGGCCAGTGTACCACATTTGCCATGTGCATTTTTGCCTGTCTTGTACTGTATTTAGGTGAAAGCACAGGACATATTTTGAGGTCTGTATCACAACTCCTAAGCCATCATTGAATAAATGACTATGCAGGATTTAAAGAAGCTTATCTTAAAAAAATGACAGACTCTTTTTTGGCTATGATCAGCATGGTAAGTGATTAATAGAACAGTTTAAACATAAATAGATACCTGCATGCATAAAGATAAAAGGTAAGCTGTATTTTCTAGTCTGATGGCTGAGTGGACTCTTGGTCCTTGATGACCTGGTCTAAAAGGTTAGATCAAGTGCCTTTCCCTGCAGAAGATCCAGTACATTTTTGACCTGGTCGAGGAGAGAAAACCTAGTGTTTGGAGACTGTCAAATGGCATTGCTTGATACAGGACTGTGCATCTGTTGGAAGGTGATCTCTTGGTCATATTCTATCAGTTATTTTCTCCATTACTGTGATCCTGGTAGATGCACAGCAAGTTAGTCTTAGGCAACAGAAAATTTCCCTCTTTTGTAGACCTGTCAAAGCTCAGGTCACTTGTAGTCACTTAGATTTTCTTTTACCAGCATTCCCCTTTGTCCAAAGAAAAGTCTGCCTGTTGCTTTTGATTGCATTTCTTAAATCCTGCAGTGTCAGGGTATGTTTTCTCACTCTGAACCGACTGAGAGTAATATGGCTTTGTCATTAGGTTAGCATTCTCAGCCAGATCATTTTCTATTATGAGTGTCACTGGCTAGGGGAGCAGAGGATCTTAATCCCTCACACACACATACACACACACACACACACACACACACACAACAATATTAGCATGATATAGTCTTGAATGAATTATCAGTGAACATTTTTTAATGCTCCATAATCCGGTATATATAAGTGCTACTTAGTACTAGTTTCCAGATTTAACATGTTAAAGAATAGAGTTTTTAAATGTTAAGTTTGGAGAAATTTGCCTAGATATGCAGGAATCAGAGTCCTCTGGGAGAGGAGAGAAAATTGCTCAAATGATGTCTTTGCTCTGTGATAATTTAACCTGGCTTCCCACTAGCACTAGACTCAGCCTGTCACTGTGACTAGCATATGTAATTTTACTGTGACTTGTATGAGCATTATAAGCTAATTGGTATGTGCCAATGTGTTTCTTAACAAGTGTTTCTCTGGTTGTATATGCTCACTACCTCCTGTAGTAAAGATGTAATTTGTTCTAGGAGTTGATATATCATTCAGAATTTCACCAAATTAATTGCATGGAATCAAGCCATGAATTTATTTAGTTGTTTTCAAAACAAAGGCCAAGATATGAAGTTACCTATTTACCATTTTAAATTAAATTATCATTTTTATCAAGAATTTCTATTTTGTATTAGCTTTCATTCAAATAGAGTGTATCTTATGCACATTTTTTGTGTGTAATCATGTTATTAATTTGGAGGCTGAAATGTTTTGGTACATTTAAATTGACTGAAATAATGACTGTATTTTGGATCTTAAAGCTCTTTGGTATTCTAAACCGTCTCTTATTCAGAAATAAAGGTTGCAGAAGAGACATTTTGTATAAATTAAATGGATATATAGTCTCATATCCTAATAAAACCCTATTAAATCTGCATTAAATGGATTGGTACATATTGTCTTTCTATTTCTAATTAGAGAATTATTTCATGATCAGTTCAGTGTATCCATTAGATTACAAAATGGCTCCAGAAAATGAATATTTAATAAATTATATCTCAAACATTATTTGAATAAATCATGAATATGTAGTGGGCACTTAGTTATAGTAGTATGCTATACATTCATTAATTCCTAAAATTTAATTGAAATATTAAACCTTTAAAAATGAAGCATTTGTCCTACATAGTAAAATATAACATGATGAATAATAAACAGACTTTGTGCTCCAGGTCAATCTATATTTAAATCCTCCTGTTACGATGAATTTTCTGGAAGAGTTGTTCATCTAGATATAACATGAAGTGTTATTATGGCAAAGAGAATATATTTCATATAGACTTATTATGCTTTTGTTTACATGTCAGCACAAACACTGAACTTATTCCATCTTGAATTGGTTTCTTCCAGAGTACATTACCCAGTGGCCTTGGGATGATGTTTCGTTTTCTGTGACAAAGATAGGTTAAGCGACAGCTACTAACATCAACTTCAGTGTCTTCCACTTCATCGTTTCTGTTTTCCAGGGCTGGCTTGGAGATCTTCATCGATCATCTATTTTTCTATCTGGAAACTGGAGGGAAGTAGCTCCTTACCTAGCTTAGAAAAGATTTACAAGGATAAGTTGAGATATTTGTACCTTGAAAGCTTACATTGATTAGCTTATAACTCTTCAAAATTCAAAATATATTCCTCTCCCTGCTTGTGCTTCTACTACCAAACATTGAACCCTGCAAACAAATAGAAATAACTCTCTCTTTTAGACTTGATGCCATAATCTTCCTATTTACTTCTATGGCAATAAATAATAATAGTTAACGTTTCTATATAGTCAGAAAAAAAGTTTGCCTTGGCTTGATGTGACAGGACATGTTTTGAAACATTTCTGTCATATTTCACAGTATATTTTGTTTGTTGTAACCTGTTGATTAAATAGAAATGTTTTTCAACACACAATCCTTTACGTATCTACATAATTCCTTACGGCATGGAAGAATTGCATTGACCAGGAATTTTCACATTTAAGCAAGCCTTAGAAATAAAAGTAAAAAATACCGCTGAATTTCTAGCATGGTTATTCTTTTATTTTAAAAAAGGAGAGATTTATTTATTGGAACCACAGAGTGACAGAGAGACAGGGAGAGTCAAATGTTTGCCATGCACTGATTCACTATCCAAATGCCAACAAAAGTCAAGGCCAACACCAGCAGCTCCATCTGGGTGTCTCCTGTGGGTGGTGGAAGCTGAATTACTTGAGCCATCATGTGCTGCTTTATTGGCTAAAGCATGCAGTGGGTTGGAAGCATGGAGTAGCTGGAACTTGAACCAGGCACTCCAGTATGGGATGTAGGCATTCTAAGCAGTGTGCAACAACACCTGTCCTTGATTATAAGTTTTAGCCATTTTGAAAACCGATAAGGGAGAGGGGAGCTAGGGTGTTTGTTGCAAAAGATGTCATTCTTACCTCATTAGAACTTTCGTTTTTTAAACTTGCAAATACATGTTAAAGAATCCTACATATAGAAAACCTAAAATATAAAAATACATATATAACAAGAAAAATAAAAACCACATTGTAGTGGTTTTTATTATTTATTATTTTATTATTTATCACTGTTTGATGTACAAAAACTATCACTCTGGGGATGGTGCTGTGAGTAGGGGGTAAACCTACCCCCCTGCATCCCATGTGGGAGCTTGTTCAAGTCCTGACTGCTCCACTTCTGATTCAGCTCTCTGCTATGGCCTGGGAAAGCAGCAGAAGATGGCCCAAATACTTGGGCCCCTGCTCCTGTGTGGGAGGCTCGGAAGAGGCTCCTGGCTTCTGGCTTTGGATTGACCCAGCTGTGGCCATTTGGGAAGTGAACCAGCAGATGGAAAACCTCTGTCTCCCTCTCCCTGCCTCTGTCTCTCTGTAACTCTGCCTTTCAGATAAATTAAAAAAAAAACACAAAACTATAACTCTAAGCTATTTTTACGGAGCTTTCTTGCCCTTCGTAGACAATTGAAAAATAATTATTGCATAAATATTAGTCTTGCTAATTATAATTAAAATGTGACTTCAAGTAGTTCATTATCACATATGTTCTGTGAAGAATACCATCTGCTGTTTATTTTACTTCCACCGATAACTCACTCAGCATTGACCGTGCCCTCACATGTCATTGCTGTGAGTCTTGTCACACTCTAACTGAAGCCTTGCTCTCAACTTCCATGCAGGGCAAGTTGGATGTGACCAGAGGTTACTTAGCTAATAACATATAGAAGTTAGAGATAAATATCATTTTCTGGTACCCCATGTTGGATAATTCTGAGCTGTGTCCTATATTGGCTACCAGCATTCCACAGCTGGACGGTTGGTCAAAGCTATAACCTACTCAACAACATACCTTTCTGGCTACACTCTTCATCTACACTCATCATTCCTTATTGGTGCTTCCAGAAATCACCTCCTAAATAAACTACTTGCATTGAAATCCCCATCACAGGATGGTATTCTTGGAGAATCCAAAATAAGAAATGCACCTTTTACAAAATTCTGAGGGTGCTAATAAGGGAAGAATCATAGCATAGACACTAAAGGGATAAACTGGTTAAGTTTTGTTTTGTACATGTGTGTTTTAACAATTTTCAGTCTGTATCAAGCCTTTGAGACTTGGTAACATAGTTATGCCATTTCCCTAGGCCACTGAAGATTGAATGGGGGTGGATATCTTAGGTTGAAAGAAATAACCAACACAGAGAACAGCTGCAATTATTTCACTGTAAAGCACTAAAGGCATGCAAGGGGTTCTAAATATTGTGTTTATATCAGAAGATAAACTGAAACATGTGGCCTGTCCCAGCATTGATTGAACATGAATGAATGCATATAATCAGCTCAGGTATCTGGGATGACAGTGGTCAAATCAACTTTAAGGGAAATAATCCATTAGTGGGGCTTGTCCAATGCTAACTTCCAGGTATGGGGAAAGATACTTTAACTTTGCCAGTAGAGTATGGTCACGTTGCTCCTAAGTGTAATTTCAGGAAACACTTAAAAGCATGTGAAATTCCTGACATCCAGACCAAGATGGTTTGATGAAATTCTTACATCGGTGATAAAGAAGCCCACTTTCAGGGCAGGTGTTTGGCCTACTGGTTAAGAACTGGTTGAAATGCTCATGACCTGGCTCCAGCTCCCTACCAGAGTAAACCATAGGAGGAAGCTGGTGATGGCTCAAATAGGTGGGTCTCTGCAACCCGTGTAGGAGATCCGATTGAGTGTCTTGGCTCCTGGATTCAGCCTGGCCCTGCCCCAGCCGCTGGGGATATTTAGGAAGTGGTTCAACAGATGGGAAATCTGGAATCTCTCTTTGCTTTGTAAAAAAAAAAAAAAAAGCTTACTTGCTTATTTGGTTTTCAGATGGAAAGTTTATATTGCTCTTCAGTAGCATTGTCACAGTTTTCAGTGGAAATGTGTTTTGTATTTATGATCTAGCATGTATGCTTTCTTAGAAAATCAAAAGATGATTACAGTTGATTTTCAACACAGGATTATAAATTAAGGAATCAAATGATTTTTATGCAAAAATTTGCTTCTTCTACATAAAGAAAATGATGGGTCTTAATTTTTTCCATAACAAATTGCAAAATATAAAACCCGAGTTTATTTCATTTAAAAGTGGGAAAATTGGGTTAGGTGCTGTGGTGCAGTGGGTAAAGTCACTAGCTGGGACATACACATTGCATATTAAAGTCCCCTTTTGAGTCCTGGTTACTATTTCTCTGCTCTAGCTTCTTGCCAGTACACCTAGGAAGACAGCTGCCACCCATGTAGGAAGTTTGGATAGATTCTTGGCTCCAGGCTTTGGCCTGACCCAACCCTGGATGTGGCAAACATTTGGGGAGTGAACCAGCAGGCAGAAGCTCATGCTTGCTGTCTCTCTCTCTAACTCTGCCTTTCAAATAAATACATTAAATATATTTTTAAAACCTGGGAGAACTTACTTTCAGAATTGTTAGAACGTGAGTTTTCATATTGAAAAGAGAGTCAGTTCTAATACAGAAACCTAAAATTTATCATTACAAACTGAATAAAATTTGGTCAAACTTTTGTGAGTGTGTAAAAAATCAGTTGGTTTGCCAAAATTTTGATCCCTTTTGACTGAACTTTTGCACCTTTAATATTTTAATACTTACATTAACAAAATGAAATCCTTCTGAAGCCCACACAGTAACAAACATTTTCCCTCCATTGACAAGTCTACATATAAAATAGTTGCCTTATTATTTTTAGGACAAATGACTAAGTCAGTTTCATACCTTATTAGCCTCTCTACAATTAAAGCATTATCCTATTAGGAAATTTGATGTTTAGGAAGGGAGTGGGGAACATTTATGATTCTGCACATGTTCTCTGTATGAGGCAATATAATACTTAAAAAACCAAATTTATTAAGATTCCATAATTCTTCAAGCTTAATATTTGTTGATATTAATGATCCCTTTTGGGTTCAAGAATGCAAGGCAATTGTACTTTTTGGCTAAAGAGAGCAAGAGAAAAAATCCTTCTCTAACATCCTGGATTCCCTGAGGTGCCTGGGCTTTTGGCCAGCCTTCCTAGGAGAAAGCCCCAGCTGCCACAGTCTGTACATTCCTGTGTGTACAGAGGCTGAGCAAAGTCTCTCTCACAAGCTGAAAACCAGCCACAGAAAGCCAGGTGCAAACAAGACAGCGGGGTCCAAGCAACACAGAGGGTCCAGGCCATAGGAGCCTGCAATGTGCTATTCACTGTCAAGAACACCTTTCTTGTTACCTTTGCTCTCAGAGGACTCCAACCAGTCCTATTTATAGCGATGAAGGAGGCTGACTTCCCCAGGAGCCTCAGTTGGGTCAAATGGGCATTAAAGAATTTCTGCATTAGAGAACATTGTCTTGTTCTGAGATGGTTTTAGGAGCCTTTATGAGGAATAATAATGGCCAGGGCACAATAAAGGTTGACCTTTGGTTGACCTTCTTTAGCTCATGAAGCCTGTTTGGAGCACATTAGGAGTGAAACCAACATTAATCCTCGTGCCCTTGGTATCATTTCCATAATGGGCAGATCTGCATGCAAACAGCTCTCGACTTTTAAGGGAGCTCTTCTAAACTTCTGTGTTTTCCTCACTCTGGTTTTCTTTTTCTTCTCTGAGAGCCGAGGTTCCTTTCCAGAAGGCTTCATTTTGTGTTCCCATTTCCTCGTGGGAAGATGGTAGTCATGCACAAATGCAACAAATTTGAAATGCTTTTCAGTTATCAAATACCCTTGCAAAGACAATGCAACTAACAGTAACATTCTACAAATGGTAGTCACTGCAATGAGACAGAAAATTGAAAAGTGTAGAGAATTCTGTATAAGTTACATGGTAGACTTTCCAAGAATTCTTTTACAGGAATAACAATTTTGGACAAGTTAGTTTTTGAAACGAAAAACCAAAAAGCATAACATACTATCTTTAGATGGAATGCAGATCTTTAGATGGAATGCAAATGAAGAAAATGGTACAGTCTCAAAGAGGGTCATATAAAAGTCATGGCTGGGCTGGCATTTGGCACAGTGGTTAAGGTGCCGCTTGGGGCACTCGTATTCCATTTCAGAGGACCTGGGTTTGAGTTTCTGCTGTGCTCTCAATTCCACCTTCCTACTAGTGAGTGCCTTGAGAGGTTGGAGGTGCTGGCTACAGAACACAGGTTCCTGTCATCCAAATGGAAGACTCAGATTATGTTCTAGGCTGCTGGCTTTGGCCTAGCTCAGTCTAGCCCTTCCTGTTGCAGGCATTTGGGGAGTAAACCTGTGAATGATTCTGTCTCTGTTTGTCTCTTTATCACTGCCTTTCAAATTAAAAACAGTAATTGTTTAAAAAATCATAATATGTGATGCTTGTGATCGCCCAGATAGGCATGCCAATTATATGCAAAACCAGTCTATTAGGGATTGATTATTAGGCTAATGTCATTAAATGTTTACAGTATGCCAAGTCCCAGTGCTAAACCCTATGGATCCTTCCAGCAGGCTAAAGTATTTGCTTCATTTTCACATGAGAATGCTGGCTCAGGAGTTAAGCAACTTGGTGACTGGCTTACCTTAGATTCCATACCTTAGAAATGATCAAGCCATGATTTGAACCCAGAACTGTTAGAATACTGTGTTGGTATGATTAATCAGTCTTTACTGTTTGTCCTCTTTTTGAAATACAGTAAAACCTGCCTATACCAATTAACCTAAAAATGCCCTAATACTATGAATTTACTCATTGTTTCACCATTTATGCAGTTCATTATCCTGAGCTATTTTTTGACTGTGCCTCTGGCATTGTAGGTCTGGGCTGTGAGTCATTGTGGAGTTGGATATTGTCATGCTTGTATCAAGGAGTTAGTCCACTGTTCACTATTATATCTTTGGCTGTATTTTTAGAAAATAACATGTTTTTTAAAAAATCAATTGAAAACATTTAAGAGAATAAATGAGAATCAAGCAATTCAGGAGTGGACGTTTTAGCTGCCTAATGGATCTTTAAGAAAAAATGTTCACCTAATGTTTGCTTTTTAGGTTGAAAGGGAAATTTCCAAATTTAAATCCATCAATAACCATTTAACAGTTCCATTCCCTAAAATATCCTAAACAATGAAAACTATATATCACATCATTTAGGGAATTCTGGTAATCAAGGCAGAAAGGAGATCATTAAGAATTTAAGAAAAATGAAAATAGGATTAAAAGGTAACATACATTAGAAGTGGAGAAAAAGTTAAAATATAAGAATAAAATTAAGCAAAGGTCTTCATGCCAATCTTTTTTAATAAGGATTTTTCTGTGAGTAACACATGACAATGTAGTCATGAAAATCTACTGTGTATGACATTCCTAAAGTTAAAGAAAAAACTAAGAAAGGATGCATATTGAAATAGAATACATTAATGCTGGGGGAAAAAACTAGTACTTTTAACTTACTGAGGAAAATAGGGGCAGGCTTTTAGCCTAGTGGCTAAGGCCCTGGCTAAGATGCCTACAGCCTGGGTTTGAGTCCTGGTTCCAGCTGCTGACTCCAGCTTCCTGCTAATGCAGATCCTGGAAGGCTGCAGTTATGGCTAGTATTGAGTTTCTGCCACCCATGAGGGAGACAGAGATTGAGTTGCTGTCTCCTCTGATTTTGGCCTAGGCCAGCCCAGGCCATTGCAGGTGCTTGGATAGTAAACAAGTGGCTAGTGGTGCTTTCTTGCTCTCTCTCCTTTGCTCTTTCTCTCTTTTCCTCTCTCTGCCTTCTCTCTTTGTCTCTCTGCTTTACAAATAAAAAAAAAAGAAAGAAAAGAAATATTTGAATATCGTCATTTATGCAGAAAATAGTTTTAGGGCAAAAATATAGTTCCAGAACATATAAAATAAAATTACTGGTTTCAGCAAAAACAATCATTAGATTGTCTCAAATCATGAAGCAAAATATTTGTTTACCGGTTGTCTATGTATTATTTTTCTACATACCATCTACTTAAACAGCTCCAAGTTCCACCTCCTTGTCATTCTCAGGTTGTAATATCTCCTGTCAGTGCATTGAGGAAATCAAAGTCAGGAAAGACAGAATCTCCCACAATATCCAAGCACCACGTCTGTATTCCCTCTGATCCATTGACCCTTTAACCATGTCAGCACAGAATAAACATCTCTTTATTGAAGTCCCCCAAGTTTTTTCCTCATTACTTACTCAGGAATCTAACCTTTACATGCATTTAAAACATTTACAAAAATATTTTGTAACAAAACATTAACAAAAACAAAGCTATCTTCCGTATCCCATTTTAAGTGTCACCTGTTGAAATCTATACTTAGTATATACTAAATTGATCTTCTGTATTTAAAGATAATTTAAAGATGAATCTTGATGAAGAATGGGATGGGAGAGGGAGTGCGGGAGGGATGGTGGTTATGGGGGGGTGGAAAGCCACTATAATCCGAAAGTTGTACTTTGGAAATTTATATTTATTAAATAAAAGTTAAAAAAAAAAGAATGGACATTCAAACCAGAAAAAAAAAGTGTCACCCTTTCATTTTTCACTTGTAGACTTTTAAAAGTGGTAATCTAAACTTGGGTCTCTTTTTCCCAATTTAAATTCACTCTTGAACCAGCTCTTTTCAAGTTCCTTGGTGATCACTCATGTGAAATGCTTTCAGTGAAGTCACCATTCCTATCAAGGGACTAAATAACATGACATGTATTGATCTCCATTACTTGCTTAAAATCCTGGCAGCATCCAACTTTGCCGACTGCTTCTCTATTCAAAATCTCTTTGGTAATGAATATGACACTGCACTATCCTGATTTTCCTCCTAGGATTTGGGAGCCCAAGGAGAGGCTTTTTATTTCCACTGTGAAAGACAGAGTTACAGAGGGAGAGGGATAGATGGAGAGTTCTTCCATCCACTGGGTCACTCCCCAAATGGCCGCAACGGCTGGGGCTCGGACTGTTCAAAGCTAGTAGCTTCCTCCAGGTCTCCCACTTGGGTGCAGGAGCCCGAGCACTTGGACACATTAGCAGGGACCTGGGATGCAGGTGTTGCAGGTGGCAGCTTTACCCACTACACCCCAATGCTGCCCCCCCCACTGTGGATTTCTTTCTTTTTTTTTTTTTTTTTTTTTTTGACAGGCAGAGTGGACAGTGAGAGAGAGAGACAGAGAGAAAGGTCTTCCTTTGCCGTTGGTTCACCCTCCAATGGCTGCCGCGGCCGGCGCGCTGCGGCCGGCGCACCGCACTGATCTGATGGCAGGAGCCAGGAGCCAGGTGCTTTTCCTGGTCTCCCATGGGGTGCAGGGCCCAAGCACCTGGGCCATCCTCCACTGCACTCCCTGGCCACAGCAGAGGGCTGGCCTGGAAGAGGGGCAACCGGGACAGAATCCGGCGCCCCAACCGGGACTGGAACCCGGTGTGCCGACGCCGCTAGGCGGAGGATTAGCCTAGTGAGCCGCGGCGCTGGCCCCATTGTGGATTTCTTAAATGATGTAAATGATATTTTTATTCATTCATTCATCAGTTTATTCTAATATTTCAGTGCATGTCTCAAAAGCAGGTGCATTTCTGTGGCTCTGACATCTCTAAATTTCTTGAAGTATGGAAAGAGTACTTTTCCTTTTTTTTTTTTTTACAGTGTTCTAACTATAGAGTGTCTGATTCTAGATCTGACATTTAAAATTATCAGTGGATTATACATTTTTATAAGTTGGTAGTTTCACAGTATTTATATATACATTATTATTCACTAGATGGCAGAACATTAAAGAAATAACAAAAACCTGAGAAATTAGATTTGTGTACTTGTGCTTCTGAGATAAAGTGATTATTTTCTCCTCTCTTATTTTTATGGCAAGCACTTACATTGTTGAACGATGTTAAAATGCCAGTTTTTAAGATTGCATTTTTTGTGAGGGTTCTGGCATGCAAAACTATTATGCTGCATTCTTGTAATAGACTTGAAAACAATAAAAAAACTACACCTTAAAAATATATTATCAAGGAAATTGTTAGTTCTATCTTCTTGAGTTTTCAAAAATTAGATTACATTGTTTCAAATTTGACTTTTGTTGCATAAAGTAAAACATTTATCTAAGCCTTCTTATTGTCTCCATGGTCTGCATTTTAAAAAATTTGCGTTTAAAAGAAGTAGTTACCAGACAATCCATTAAGAATTGGGTATCTCTTTCAAAGACTCCAGTATAGCAAAGAACTATAATAAATTCCATTAGAATGAGTTATCTGGGGACAATTTAATACATTTATCAAGTTCAAAAATATGTTATCTAACAGTTATAAACATTTTAATAAGATAGAATACTAAAAGTGAGTAAAAGGCACTTGGAATATTTCATTTGATAAATGAAATATCTCATAGGAAATGGAATCTAATTTTTTAATAAAATTTTAAATAACTTCTACAATATATGCACTGACATAGTTGATCCTAGTGACACAAGAAAGTGAGACTTTCTCATCTATGAGTTACCTATGCAAATTAAAAGTATATATATTCTCAGGAAACATAGAATCAGCTTATTTGGAACATCTAAACAAATAAATTTAATGTTTAATTTTATTGCCTGATTTCTATGAAGAGAAATACTTGGAAAATATTTTTCAATATGTCTTAAAGGAACTATCCTGATAGAAGCTCTCACTTGCCTTTCAGTTAAAACATTCATTCAAATATAAATAACTGAATTTCTCAATGATGAATCAGTAGACCATTGTCACACATGGGATGCATCTCCTAGAAAAGAGATCAAGTCCACAATTAATTTTTAAATACTGAAACTTCATGATTATGACATAATATTTTTAATATTTAAAACAATTAAACATTACCAATAGAGAAATTCATGTCTAAGTAATGGTTAACCTGGCCTATTTCTCCAAACATGTGAGTGTACCTTATATCATAATGGACTAGGTAATTTTACAGGTTACTTGAGTGACATTTAAGAAAATTAAAATAAATGGTATGAATTTTGAGAATAATGAATTTGCAAGTGAAGTACAAGAGGTATAATGCTCACTTGGGTGAATTTTTTATTTTTCCCCAATGAAACCTTTTATTTAATGAGTACAAATTTCTTAAGTACAACTTTAGGAATATAGTGATTCTTTTTTTTTTCCCCAAAGAAAACTTTTACTTAATAAGTACAAATTTCATAAGTACAACTTTAGGAATGTAGTGATTCTTCCCATTATACCCGCCCTCCCACCGCTTCCTCCTCTCTCTCCCATTCCCAGTCCCATTCTCCATTAAGAAAAAAACAAAACAAAACAAAAAATGAAACAAAACAAAAAACTATTTCTCAACAGTCAAGACAAGGGCTATGCAGTCATTGCTCCTCAATGTCAATTTCACTTCTACAGATTCCCTTTTAGATGCTTTATTAGTTATCACAGAACAGGGAGAATTTATCCCTTTGGTACTAGCTTATTTCACTAAGTATGATGTTTTTCGGATTCATCCATTTTGTTGGAAATCACTGGGTTTCATTTTTTTCATATCCCATAATTTCTTTTTCCAGTCTTCAGTTGACAGGCATTTAGGTTGATTCCATGTATTAGCTGTTGTGAATTGAACTGCAATAAACATGGGTGTGCAGATAACTCTTTTATTTGCTGATTTCATTTCCCTTGGGTGATTTCCCAGGAGTGGGATGGCTGGATCATAGGGTAGGTCTATATTCAGATTTCTGAAGTATCTCCAAACTGATTTCCATAGTGGTTTTACCAATTTACATTCCCACCATCAGTGGATTAGGGTACCTTTTTTCCCACATCCTCATTAGCATTTGTTGTTTGTTGCTTGCTGTATGAGGGCCATTCTAACTAGGGTGAGGTGAAACCTCAATGTGGTTTTGATTTGCATTTTCAGATGGCTTGTGATCCTGAGCCTTTTTTCACGTGTATGTTGGCCATTTGGATTTCCTCTTTTGAAAATTGTCAGTTGAGAGGCCGGCACTGTGGCGAAGTGGGGAAAGCCACCGTCTGCAGTGCTGGCATCTCATATGGGTGCAGGTTTGAGACCCGGCTGCTCCACTTCCTATCCAACTCTCTGCTGTGGCCTGGTACAGCAGTAGAAGATGACCCAAGTCCTTGAGCCCCTGCATCCACATGGAAGACACAGAGGAAGCTCCTGGCTTCTGGCTTTGGATCGGCGCAGTTCTGGCTGTTGCGGCCAGTTGGAGAGTGAACCAGCAGACGGAAAACCTCTCTCTCTTTCTGCTTCTCCTTCTCTCTGTGTGTAACTCTTTCAAATAAATAAGCAAATCTTTAAAAAGAGAGAGAGAGAGAAAGGAAGAAAAATGTCTGCTTAAGTCATTGGCCCATTTCTTAACTGGGTGGTTTATTTTGTTGTTGTGGAGTTTCTTGATCTCTTGATATATTCTGGTTATTAATCCTTTATCAGTTGCATTAGTTGCAAATAATTTTTCCCATTCTGTTGATTCCCTTTTCACATTCCTTAGTGTTTATTTTGCAGTACAAAAGCTTCTCAATTTGATGGAATCCCATTTGTTAATTTTGGCTTTTACTGCCTGTGCCTCTGTTTTTTTCTTTGTTTGTTTGTTTTTTTCCAAGAAATCTTTGCCTGTGCTGAAGTCCAGTAGGTTTTCCCCAAGTTCTCTAATAATTTGATGGTATTTGGTTTAAATTTAAGTCTTTAATCCATTTTGAATGGATTTTTGTGTAAGGTGTAAGGTAGAGGATCTGCTTCTCATTTCTGCATGTGGCAATCCCATTTTCCCAGCACCATTTGTTGAAGAGACTGTCCTTGCTCCAGGGATTGGTT